CTGACATATGCAAATTAGGCAAATGCATTAATTAAGCATGCAAATAGCTGATTTTTCGGGAAAATTGTAACTTTGCGTGAATAGTTAAGGGGCTTAAACTAAACCAAATTGTCTGAAATTTTGTACAGTAATTAAAATCCGGACAAATTGTCCATCTGTTATCTCAAAATATGATTGCAGCTTTTAAATTTTGTGCGCAAGCCATTTTTATTTTGTTGGAAAAGACACACCCCCCTGGTTCACAAAACTTAAGTTCGAGAAATTTTTTTCATTATTTTACATTATAAGTACCCAAAGAAGCTATATATATAAAAAACAGCTACAAATAGCTGTGTTGCGAAATTGAGAGCAATTTTAAATCTGTTCATATATAAAGGATGGAGTTCATATATATATAAAGGATGGATTATATATATATATATATATATAAACGATGGAGTTCTCCGAGAGTAATATCACATACGTACCCTTTTCTAGATATATGCAAAATTAAAAGCAAAGATTAACATACGATAGTATTCCTCCACTCGTGAGCTCATTTACCGAAGCAAATGTCCAGGCCTTGTGACCCTGGATGGGCACTTAAAGGAAGGAATACACACACACATTCGTACGCTTATTTAAGGTGACGCCACAGGAAATGTTACCTGTTATGTTTCAATTATCCAACAATATGTCTCAACGCAACTCATCTCCTTGTCGCCATATTGTTCAAACAATATCAGGAAATACGTAAATGAATAAGTCAAATACTTTTGACTGAATGCTGAAAGCTACAGCAATGACCTAGAAACTACTAGAATATCTTATAAGGTGATAGGAAGTAAAATAAATACATATTTTATGTCTCTCAGGTAATATATAAAGGATGGAGTTCTCATAGAGCAATATCACATACGTACCCTTTTCTAGATATATGCAAAATTAAAAACAAAGATTAACATACGATAGCATTCCTCCACTCGTGAGCTCATTTACCGAAGCAAAAATGAGCTCACGAGTGGAGGAATGCTATCGTATGTTAATCTTTGTTTTTAATTTTGCATATATCTAGAAAAGGGTAAGTATGTGATATTGCTCTCGGAGAACTCCATCCTTTATATATTACCTGAGAGACATAAAATATGTATTTATTTTACTTCCTATCACCTTATAAGATATTCTAGTAGTTTCTAGGTCATTGCTGTAGCTTTCAGCATTCAGTCAAAAGTATTTGACTTATTCATTTA